ATCAGGTATGACCATGTGACCAGCTGCAGAAATGAGGACTGTGATTATTATATTTTTTCATTGTATATGTGCATCAAATATTTTTTTTCCTTCTGTTATGAACTGTGAAATGTAAATAAGGTTAATGCATTTTGGTTGTATGTGTGTTAGCGTATCATGTTAGGCACAAATATGACTGTATAATTGTCCTTATTTAGAGATCATATATGGTTATGAAGATGTATACAACTGCCAAGTTGACAAGGGGTGGACTGTGATAGTTGGAGCTGTGTGTCAACTTGGCTGGAGTTGCCTGGAGTTGTGGTTATTCCCATGATGGGATCAGTGACTGTGTTCTGAGTGGCCAATTTGCTGAAGGGGAGTTTCCCTAGGGGTGTGGCCTGCTTCCAGTATATCCAGGGACATCCTGGGAAGAGACATTCTTCTGTGGATCAGGATTCTGTTTTGCTGCCTACAACTGTCTGTGAATGAGCAGTTCACCATTCAGCCTGGAGATCTTGGATTCATCATTCATTGGAGTCAACAGCCAGTGTACTGCCTATCAGCCTTGAGCTCCTCGGCCCCTGTGGTTGCGCGAGCCAGGAAAAGCCTCCAGCTTGACGTTCGATCCAGGAACTTTGGACTTGCCGGCTTCTATACGTGTGTGAGCCATTTTCCTAAGATAAATTTCTCTCTCTCTCTTTCTCTCTCTCTATATATATCAGCTTTGCTGGTGTTTGTTCCTCTAGAGAACCCAGTCTAACACAGATACCATCTCACCTCAGCAATAATAGCAAAATTCAAGAAAAGAGAAAAACAATAAATGCTGGTGAGGGTGTGGAGAGACAGGAACTCTCACACACTGCTATTGGGGCTTTTTAGTTGTTACTGTTGTTATATGCCGTCGAGTAAATGGTGCAAATACTGTTTAAAAAAATGGCATGACACTTCCTTAAAAAGCTAGAAATAGAAATACCATTTGATCGAGCAATCCCACTACTAGGTGTATATCTTAAAGAAATAAGGGCCAGGAGCTAAATAGATATATGCATACTATATTCACTGCAGTATTCACAATAGCAAAGAGATAGAAACAATCTAAGTGTTCCCCCAAAGACAAATTGATAAACTATGATACATACACACAATAGTACTACACATTAAAGAATATTGAAGAATCTGTGGAACACTTCATAACATGGACGAACCTGGAGGACATTATGCTAAGTGAAATAATGCAATCACAAAAGGACAAATATTATATGAGTCCACTATTATAAAAAGTCAAGGAAAGATTTACACACAGAAAGAAACATTCTTCAAGCTATCAGGGATGGGAGGGGAGGGGAAGGAAAATCAATAATTAGATAATAGAGAAGTATTAATTTATTAATAATAATTATTATTAATTTAGGCAATATACAATAAGGGGGTGATCAGCACAATATCACTAAGGAAAAGGAAGACATGGAGAAATGCCCAAGAGTTACAGACAATAAAGGTAAATACCATTACATACACAATCTTGCATTATTAGAAATAAGAAACATCAGTGTATGAGCAGATACAGAGGCACATAGGCAAAATAAACAGGTATGAATAGCTGAATGCATTTAGCTGAAGATATTTCTGCATATGTATTCATATGAGCTGTCAATATATCCATGTACATAGTAGAGCAAACAGGGAACAAACTTCTGAAAACTTTTTAGCCATAACCAAAAACCTTGAGGGAATGAGTCACTGAGTCTGGTTACTCAGGATATAGCCAAGGGGGATGTCAAGGTCAATTGTCACAACCTAGTTCACAAAGACAATGTTTTAAATCCTGCTTTGATGAGTAGTGGTTGGGGTCTTAAAAGCTTGTGACCAGCCATCTAAGGTGCAACTACTTCTATTTCTTTGTCTGGAGCAAAGAAGAGTGAAGAACATCAAAGACACATGGAAACAATTAATTGGAAGGAGTAATGGACCATGTAAATCTCAGTCTCCATAACTCTGAGACCAGAAGAACTAGATAGTGCCAGGGTACCACTGCTGACCACTTTGAAAAGGGATCCCAATAGGAGGTTCTAGATAGAGTGGAAGAAAAATGTGGAACAAAACTGAAAATCATAAAAAGACCAGGCACACTGGTTTAACAGAGATTGGTGGAACTCCAGACACTATGGCTCTTAGTAACCCTTCAAGCCTGGAAATGAACTCACCCCTACGGCTCAAATTTAAGCCAAACAATAGACAGGTGTTCTGGTTACCTAGTGCTGCTCTGACAAGAATATACCACAAATGGGATGGGCTTAACAAACAGGAGTTTATTCTCTTACAGTTTGGAGGCTTTAAGTCCAAGTTCAAAGTGCCAGGTTCTAGGGGCTAGGTGAAAGCCCCTCAACGTTGGGGTCCAGCTCTGCCTCTTGCTCCTGGCCCACTGGAGCTAGAGGCATTTCTTCACTCAGACAGCTGCTGGCTGCTGAGGCTGCTAAGCCCAAGGTTGACAGATAAAGGCACAGTCCTGATGTTACCAAACCACATGGCAGGCCATTAACTTAAGTCCATTGTAAGTCCCAAGGTCGGCAGAGCATGGCAGGCTGCTGACCAACGACATAGCTACACGTAGGGTCCAAGCATGCCGTAAGCTAGAGATCATTCCCCAAGGCTTCCGCTTATATACAGGAAGCAGACCACATTCCCTGGGGCAGCTACTCAGCTGCTCACAGTAGATTCCACCATGGAGTTGATTACCATCATGGGGAATACTACATCCAGCTGCCCAGCCATTCAACCAGGCCCAGCCAAGTTGACCCACAAACTGAACTACCACAACAGGGCTATAAGGTGAAAAATAACACCAGAGAAATATGCACTCCTTAGAACAATCAACCATATGAGGTCTGAAGAGTAACGTTTGCCCAGGAATAAAGCTCAGAAGGAAAAGATAGGAAAGAAGGATGAATGGAAATGCAAAGCACTGGGAGAAAGTGGAGCAGAGTGCTATTTTACTGTTGGGATTTCAATTAATGTCATGAAACAAAATGTGTATGAGTTGTGGAATGGAAAATTAATTTCATCTTTCACTCAAATCACAATAAAAAGTTAAAAACAATTACTAGATGATGGTGGGGTGGGATACTGGGAGGAGTGGAGGGGAATGTGGAGGCTATATTTGGCCGAAGAGTCTTTGGCAGCAATCATATGCAAATTAAATTGTAAAATAAAAAATTTATAGGTAACTTATAATTTTGTACTCCACATGATATGTGGTTTATATCTTATAAATATTGAAAAAATACATAGCTGAATTTGAACTGTAATTAAAATCAGAACTAGACTTAGAATTTTTAACGTCTCTTATTAATTCAAAATCATCCTACATGGAAGAATATTTGAAATTCCATATTTACTGCTATATGAATAAAATGCTAAGGTCTTAAATGATTATGCATTAAGTAACATAAGTGAGATTCTAGCACCATATGCCAGAAAAGGCCAATTTGAAGCTATAATTAATAAAATATATTCATTTACAGAAATTTAAGATTCAGTACTGTCACAGGAAAATCATACAATATATATGCCTTCCTTCTTTCTTTCCTTCCTAGAAGTTACTTTTCCCAAGTGGAAGTTTAAATGAACATTAAAGTTATCCTTCAAGTGCAAAATAGTCACAATAAGACAATGAGGTGTTTACATGGAAGAAGAAAGGAGCTAAGCTTTGGTGGCTATAGGAAATGGGTGTGTGTGTGTGTATGTGTGTGTGAGTGTATTCATGTCCATGGTGGTACATGTACATGGTTTGGGCTGTAGTGTGTTTTGAAGCTGGGAGTGTGTGTATGTGGGTATGATACTTATGTTAAAAAATAGCAATAGTAGATACAGCTATCGCTTTTTTTCCACACTGGTTGTCTCTCCATGGAACAGTTAATTCCTCTTAGTGGAGTCCTGTTAGAATATCACAATGTCCATGATGGAACAGGAACAGGCTGGGGGGGGGGGGGTGGGAATCTGCTCCCTGAGCTAGGCAGGACGAGGGAGTGGAGAACAGCAAACGTTTTCAGGTTTTATCCATTCATTCTCATTGCCTCTATCCTTACTCTTTCTAAGTGGGACAGAGGGACCTGGGTCATAGGTGAAACAGAGATATACAGAGAGATGGCTTCTTTTCTTACTCACACATTATTTATATTCTATGGTGAAAGGAAAGGAAATGGGGAAATTTGAACTACAAGGGGAGGAAGATAATGTAAAAAATGCAATCTGACCCTAAATATAGAAAACTGTATTTTCAGCAGGATCATAATTGGCGTGCTATTAGAGTAATGATATTCTCATTGTTATCTGCTACAAATGAATAATACGTAAACACAGATGTTTCAAAATAGCTCTAAAAAACCTGAGGATTCACTGTCTTTAAGTAAGTTTTCAGATAAACCACTTCCAGACCAAGAAAACCTGCCTGCGATATTTTAAAACTTTTTTTTTTTTTCTATTGGGACATTATTTTCTTTTGTTGTGAGAGCAGTGAACTTGCCCAGGAAAATTTCAAGAACATGGCTGTACAAATTTCTCCTATGCATGCCTGCCCAAATGGATCAAGTCTTTTCAAAATGTGGCTTACATTTGAAAGATACCAAAGTTGTCATGTACTTTCTTTAATAGTCCCAATAATAATAATAATAATAGTAGTAGTAATATTTTTAATTATTTGCATGATTATTTGCTTAGGTCTCTGGACAGGAGTGGCCATGTCTTATTTGTCCTGGTGTAGCTAAAATGTTAATGTAGTGCTTGATACATGGTGGGTGATTGATAAATATCTTTTGAAAGAATAAATAACAATATTTTTCTTTAATGTAGCTTTTTTAAAACCCATATAATGTACATAAAGAAACACCTGAATAAAAAACAAAGTTTTTAAGGAAGGGAAGGAATTATCTTAACAATTAGACAGAATTCTGAGTTATAACCATTAATGTATTAGAGTCCTTATCTTGAAGCCAAAAAAATGTGATAAGATTTTTAAATACCTTTTTAAAGATTAAATAAGTAATCACCACAACAACTGGAAGCAATAATGTCTTTGTGTATCTCAGTGGTGTCTGAAACATAGCAAATTATTGGCAATAGTTATTTAATTTTATTTTATATGAATAAAACTCTATGAAAACTGAGTGCCACAATGAAATTTCTTAAAGGTAAAAATATCTTGGTCATTTTGTTGTTATGTGCTGTCGAGTCGGACCCGACTCAGCGACCCCTCCTTGGGTTTCCGAGGCAGTATCACTACGGAAGTAGATTGCCCCATCTTCCTTCCGAGGAGTGGCTGGTGGGTTTGAACCGCCAACCTTCTGGTTAGCAGTTAAGTGGTGCCTTAGGCACTAAGCTACCAAAGCTCCTATCTTGGTCATTAGCCGTCTATATATTCATTAGCTTCTAGGTTCTAATACAAGAATCATAAACTTATGAAAAAAAGTAATACAAAGTATCAAAAATTTTAATGATACAAATACTAGTAGACCTAGAATTAGCTATCTATTAATTGGTTTTACCTTTTGTTTATTGACATAATATTGTTTTAAAGGTGTGTTTACCAATTCCTATATCGTCATTTCCTAAGTTGCAATGTTCCTTGTTTTTATTAGTGTGATCAAAAGTAAAAAGGAAGAAAAAGAGCAAGTAATTATTGTATCAGTAACTACTGAAATGACATCAGCTAAATAACTCTCATAACCTATTATTTTGATAGGGAATGATTTACCATATAACTAAATTTTATGTTTTCTGAGAGCTGGATGGAGCTCTTGTGGCACAGTGGTCAAGCACTTGGCTGCTAACTAAATGACTGGCAGTTTAAACCCACTAGCTGCTCTGTGGAAGAAAGATGTGACAGTCTGCGTCCCTAAAGACACAGTCTTGGACGCGATGTCCCTCAAGACCAGAACTAGATGGTGCCAGGCTACCAATGCCAACCACTCAGGAAAGGATCAAATCTGGAGATCCTGGATAGAGTGGGAGGAAAAACGTGGAACAAAATCCAAAAACTCAATAATGACCAGAAATACTGGTCGGATGGAGTCTGGTGAGACCCCCAATACTATGGCCCTGGGATATATTCTGGGCCTGGAATAAAGTTCATTCCCAAGGGCTGGCTCACAGCCCAATAGTAAACAAGATGTAGATGCAGACCACTCGACCCCAGGTGACACACCTACATATTCTATGGAAATATATCCCTTGGAGCAATTGACCATGGGGCACCAGAGGGGCAACATTCACATGGAGGAAATGCAGGACAAACAGTAGTGCATAGCCATAAGTGGCATGGAGGGAGGGTTACTGAGCAGGGAGGGGAGGAGACTGGTTAGGGCTGGGGATGGTAAATGGGGAGTGAAACTAAATGTACATGTAACGTTGAATGTAAAACAAACTCTTACAATAAAAAATAAAATAGAATAAATATACAGTCTTGGAAACCCTATGAGACAGTGCTACTCTGTCCTATAGTGTTGCTATGACTTTGAATTAATTCATCAGCAATAAGTTTGGTTTCATTGGGTTTGAGGATAGGAACCAGGGCATATTCCTCTTTTTAACCCTACAGAAAACTGCCTCACAGATAAATATTGGCCAATAATAGTTTTTGAATGAACAGATAACTTGTTAGATCGATAAGAGATAAAATGTGACAAAATATCATTAGTTATCATTAATTCTTAAACCAGGCTGAACCAATGATATTTTTCCTAAACAGAAAAAATTAAGCAGCAGGTAGAGGAAAGAGCCCTGGATTGGTGTTAGTAGACCCATGTTCTAAACTTGGTCCTACTGCATACATTGGGCATGTCATTTGAGCTTTGGTTTCTTTATCTGCAAATGAAAGACATATATATACTACATGGTCTTTGGTCTCATTAGTAGTACACCTTTCTTGGCAATATTTTGTTAGAAAATTTGGAAATATTTGGAGTAATAAACATGACAAAATTGAATTTGCTAAAAAGAAAAACAAAACAAGTAATTTTTTGTGTTGTTTTTGTTTTCCTGAATGGTCACATACCCCTAACTGGCCTAGATGATTAAAGGTAATTGAAAAAGTTGTTGCTGTTGTTAGGCGCCATTGAGTCAGTTCACACTCATAGATCCCTATGTACAAAAAAATGAAACACTGCCCAGTCCTGTGCCATCCTCACAACTCTTTGCTATGCTTAAGCCCATCATTCAAGCCACTGTGTCAATCCATCTCATTGAGGGTCGTTCCCTTTTTTGTTGACCCTCTCATGCATGATCTTCTTTGAGATGCAGTAATAGTTATGAAGGAGCCCTGGTGACACAGTGATGAAGCACTCAGTTGCTAACCAAAAGGTCAGTGGTTCCAACCCACGAGCTGCTCCATAGGAGAAAGATGTGGCAATCTGCTTAGAAAGCCTGTGGTACTGTTCTACTGTGTCTTAATAGGTCACTGAGTCAGAATTGACTCAACAGCAAACCACCACAACAGCATGCTGTATACACTATGGTAAACGCTCTACATGGATTATTTTATTTAATAATTATCAATCACTCTTTAATTAAGAGGCTGTTTTTCAATGATTTCACAGATGAGAAAATAGTAGAGAAAAAGCAATATTATTAGCAAAGGTTATAGTAAAAATATGATTGTTGTTATGTGCTGTCGAGTCAGCCCTGACTCATAGCGACCCCTCCTTGGGTTTCCGAGGCAGTATCACTACGGAAGTAGGATTGCCCAACCTTCCTTCCAAGGAGTGGCTGGTGGGTTTGAACCGCCAACCTTCTGGTGAGCAGGCAAGTGTCTTAGCCACTATGCTACCAGAGCTCCCAAAAATAGGGAAACCTAATTAGGTGTTCTTGCATAAAATATTTTGAGTTTCAGATAAAAGCAAAATTTAAGAGCAAAAAAATCACTGTGCCTGAAGAAGAAAAAAATAGAAAAAACATTCATACCGCTTTTTCCATAAAGTCAAATTCAGGAGCACAGGTGTATATCAAGGTATCAAAATCTGTGTACCTTAAGATTCTGGCTGCTATAAGATCACTTAGGCGAATCTGGAATAAAATAAAGTAAAATGAATTAAAATTATACAATAGATAGTTATACAATAGATAGTTATAACTGATGATACAATAGATAGTTGTAACTGATTTTGATGTAGCAGTAATAAAGTCTATGGAGCACAGAAGTCTAAGATACATGGCAACCAAAAACAATACAATTAACCAAATGTGTCATGGGTTGAAATGTGAAGATAACTGAAAAACAAAGAACCAAGAAAAACAAAAACTAGAAAGATGTCAGAAATAATAATAAAGAGTGAACTAAAATCATTATTTGCTGGGCAAAAACAGCAATGCAGTTAATTAAAAGATTTTATATTCATATCATTTATCAATTAAAAAAGGAAACAATTTAATTCAACCATTCACTACACATTGTAAATGGTGAACAAACTTCTTATGTATAGTCATTTTCACAAAGCCTTGTGTATTCATTAAAGCTTTTGGTGCCTCCTGATATTTTTAAGACACAAATTTTCAAACCAATAAGCACTGAGTTCTTCCTCATAAGGATTACAACAGATATACATATTACTTTGATTCAGTTACTTGATCCCTATTGCCTTAAAAATAACCACCACCAACTAAACCTCAACTTGTAGAATCTATGCTTTCTACTGATTATTTACTAACCATTTTTGGTGAGACAACCATTTTTCATTCTCAGAAGGCCAGATAAAGGAAAAATTTTGGTACTTAAAACTTTAATCCAAATTATTTTGTAGAGATAAATTATTTTTAATAATTATAAAATTATTTTATAACAAGTTTGATGATTATCAGGAGTTTTCATTTATTCATGGTTCCCCTTGCCTACCAAGGACAACTCAGAAGTGACTTTATTTTTTCTAATGTAGAATAGTACTGATGACTAAGAATAACTTAAACAAGCAACTATAATTTCAAGTCTTTCTCATAGCTGTCACATAAAGAAGGTTACGTAGAGTACCAAGATTGTGTGTGAATGGGTTAATTTCTTTTGATATTTGTAAAGAGCTAGTCAATAATGTTGAGCCGGACAAGAAACAAAAGCACAGACCAAGTTAATAGGTAAATAGCACAGAAGACTTAAATAAAGTTTATCATAAAATATATGCTCTATAAAATAAAAAGTTAAGATCAATAAAAAGGGAAGAAGTAAAGGAAATACGTCAGACTCAGACATAAAAGAGAACAACAGGAACAAATTAATCTAATAAACCACTATGCAAAGCTAGCAATACATGGAAAATAAATGCTTATATTTTGAAATTTATTTAAATATGACCATATATGCAAGTGGATAATGACTATACTTGGCCTTTTAAAAAGCATTATAAATCCCTTGCTAGAGCTGAAGTAACTCATCGAGTCGGACCCGACTCATAGTGACCCCTCCTTGGGTTGCTGAGGCAGTATCACTACAGAAATAGATTGCCCAACCTTCCTTCCAAGGAGTGGCTGGTGGGTTTCAACCACCAGCCTTCTGGTTAGCAGTGAAATGCCTTAGGCACTATACTACCAGAGCCCCTATAAATCTCTTACTAGAGTTGAAGTAATTTCAGCATAAGAAATCGGCCCTGAAATTGAATAATACTATATTATATATTAAGGAGCTCTGGTGGCATAGTGGGAGCAAGTGCAAACAATAAATAACACCATTTAAACAAATTACTATTTATATTTTAATTGAAGTATAAACAAATGGCTACTTAACAAATTATTGTTTTTCTAGGAAACTAGCTGTCCTAATTATCTTGTGTTGCTGTAACAAAAATACCACAAGTAGGTGGGCTTAATTGACAGAAATTTATTTTCTCAGATTTTAGAGGACTGGGAGTCCAAATTCGGGGGCGGGGGGCTCTAGAGGAGGGTTCTCTTTGTCCGCTCTGTGGAAGGTGCTTGTTTCTTTTCAGTTCCTATTCCTAGGTTCCTTGAAGATCATGTTGCATGTATCTTCCCCTCTGTTTTGTGTTTGCTTGTTTTCTTAATCTGCTCTTTTATTCTCAAAAGAGAATAATTTAAGACATACCCTACACTAATAAAAACCAAAAACCAAACTCACTGCCGTGGAGTCAGAGCCGACTCATAGCGACCCCTCCTTGGGTTTCTGAGGCAGTATAACTGCAGAAGTAGATTACCCAACTTTCCTTCCGAGGAGTGACTGGTGGGTTTGAATAGCTACCCTTCTGGTTAGCAGCCAAGTGCCTTAGGCACTATGCCACGAGAGCTCCCCCCTACACTAATATTGCCTCATTAATACACCAAAGAAAACTCATTGCCAAGTGGGATTATAGACACAGGGTTAGGATTTACAAAACATTTTTGAGGACATAATTTGATCCATAATATTCCACCCTTCAGTCCTCCCCAAATCCATGTCTTTCCCACATGCAAAACACATTCACCACATCACATCATCCCAAAAGTCTTAAATCACCTCCAAGTCCAAAATCTCATTTTTAACTCACCTAAATCAAATATGAGGAGCTCTGGTAGCATAGTGCCTAAGGCACTTGACTGCTCACCAGAAGGCTG